GGAGACGATCCAACAGGTGGCTCTTACCCGGCGGTCTCACGGGCATCTCCACGCTGTATCCCCGCCGACGCAGCTCCTGCGCTGCCTCCCCAGCACTGCCGTACACCTGCACTCCTTCTTCCCAGTGAATGCGTATCCGATTGAAGGGCGTCTGAAAACGGATGCCCTTTTCTTTAAGAGCCTTTTTAATATTGGCGTACGCTTTGCGCTGATGGAGAACGGTGGCTGTATAGTCATGGTCGAAAAACAGCGGTTTATCTTCCATCATGATTTTCTTTCGCCAGGCTTTTTGAATAACCATCTCCTTGATGCTGTACTGCTGGAAATTTACTATAATGGACCTCGGACGCGAGTTTGGGCCCGGTCTAGGCGCCAGGGCTCTGTGCGCGCGTTGTATTTGCAAGTCCACATCGCCGAGCTCAAATTCGGAGCGGAGCATTTTTTCAACAAATTCTATCACCGAGCCTTGTTCAGCGTTCTCTGGTACACCATGGATCCTGATATTGTTTCGTCGAGCCCTCGATTCAATATCGTTCAACCTGTCTTCTAGTTTCTGTTGATCCTTTATTGCCTGTTGAAGGGCGGAGTTGGCCTCCGCACTCCATGTTTCGGTGTCATCGATCCGCGTCTCCATCTCGTTAATTTTCCTACCGTGTTCTTGCATGGTTAGCATGTTCGTTGAAAGTTGCTGGTTAACTTCTTGTTTGAACTCAATGAACTCTTCTCTCATATCATGCTTAATTTCGTCTTTGAATGTTTTTAAGACTTCCTTAAGTTCCGACTTCAGATCGCTGATCTGTTTGCTTAAGGTTTCAAGCCCCGTGGACACATTCTCAGATGTTGATTCGCCTCCATTTTGTCGGTCCTCTTCTTCCCGCATGTCGTCCTCCTCGTCTAGGCCTGCACGGTGTGGGTGGTTACTCGTTGTACTTTGCGCCCCTTTACCTCTGCCTTTCTTTCCCCCCGTCATATCAATGAAGGAAAATCACTTTTTAAAAATCTAAAATAATTACACGGGGGTAAATATAACGCCGACTTGCGAGAGCTAAGCGCTCAACCTGCCATTTCCCTCTGCAGCCAAACCGGAAGTCGGCTTCTTGTACATTCTGAGATCCACTTTATATCGGTTATCACTCAGACAGTTGAGGTTGCTGATTTTTAAAGTAAACAGACCTTAAATGCGCCGATATTGTAACAGTATACAGTTCAACGTTAGTGCTTGACTCAGGTTACTGACTAATTAAAAGTCATTCTGCATATACCTTATTAGTGCTGCTGGGCAAAAATTTAAATCGTATCCAAAATAAAAGTTAGTTTTTGACTTGTGTCTACTGTTTATATTTATTATGTATATATGAATACACACATGCATTCATATATTTGAGAATATGTTTATTTATATTTAGATATAAAATATATGTATATGTAACAATTTATTTTTATTCATTCATTTTCCTTTGGCTTAGTCTCTATTTGAGAGGTCTTCACAGTGGAATGAACTGCCAACTTTTCTATGCTTTACGCAGCAGATGCCCTTCCAGCCTCAACCCAGTACTGGGAACCACCCATAAACACTCATTTACACACGCAGTCATACACTACGGCCAATTAATAAATCAAATTCACCTATAGTGCATGTCTTTGTACTGTGGAAGAAACCGGAGCACCACGTCAACACGCGGAATACACGCAAACTCCACACAGTAATGCCAACTGGTCTAGCAGAACTCAAACCAGTGACCTTGCTGTGAGGCGAAAGTGCGAACCACTAGGCCACCATGCCGCCCCTAACAATTTGTTTAAAAATTGAATTATCCATGTAACAAAATTTTGTATCATTTTGTTTTTATGTGTGTCTATCACATATAGATGATTAATATATTTAACACACAATTATAATGATAAAACTTTATTTTAGATACGATTAATCTTTGATCAGCACTCAATTTAATTTAACTAAAAAAATATAATAAATAAACTACAGTGTGTATGTGAAGATTCAGCTCAAAATACCCCACAAATAATGTTTTGTAACCATTCAAAACTGCCCCTTTTAAGTTTTGATTGAAATTGTGCCGCTTTGGTGACTGTCGCTTTAAATTCAAGTGAGATTGTGCTCTTTTCAAAAGAAGGCGGAGCTACATATGCCTACCTGCTTGTTAAGTGATTACGTGTTGGTGACGTATGTAATACTCTTTCCGGGTCCAAGCAGCCATTCATTTGAGTGGATTATGCCCATCACGCATTAAAGTTAATTTTATATAAAATCATAGTGTACACAACAATTTCTGGGCTTGCTACATAACAAATACCAAAATTTTAACAATTTATAAAAAAACGAATCACTTTCTGGCCATCGGATATTAGGCACGGACATATATATAGCGATCGTGATTTTCGAAAGTATTAAATCGCTTTGAAAACGTTTATTATTACCATTTCATGAGTCTCCCTATTCAGTTGAATAGAGCGCTTGGACCCGGAAGCCGCTTCGCGTGATGTCACACTTAATAAGCAGACAAGACTTACATCCTATGCTAATGAGGAAGAGATGGTCACTAATAGGTGTGGCTTACCCCCTCTGATAACAAAGTGAGAATGTCGATATATATATATATATATATATATATATATATATATATATATATATATATATATATATATATATATATATATATATATATATATATATATATAGACATGTCACACAACACATGGACATGACCTCAATCATTTTTGTTGATGTATACATACCATACATACATACATACATACATACATACATACATACATACATACATACATACATATATATATATATACACGTACATATACATATACATACATATACATACATATACATACATATACATATACATATATACATATACATCAACAAATACGATTGCGGTCATGTCCATGTGTTGTGTGACAAGTCGATATATTGATTATTGTGACAGGCCTAGCCAATAGTCATTCAATCATTCATTTTCTTTTCGGCTTAGTCCCTTTATTATTCCTGGGTCGCCACAGCGGAATGAACCGCCAACCTTTCCAGCACAGATGCCTTTCCAGCTGCAACCCATCTCTGGGTAAAATCCATACATACTAATTCACACTCATACACTATAGACAAATTAGCCTACCCAATTCACCTGTACCACATGTCTTTGGACTGTGGAGGAAACCGGAGCACCCGGAGGAAACCCACGCGAACGCAGGGAGAACATGCAAACTCCACACAGAAAGGCCAACTGACCCAGTTGAGGCTCGAACTAGCAACCTTCTTGCTGTGAGGCGACAGCACTACCTACTGCACCACTGTGCCGCCCCCTAGCCAATAGAATTTATTATTATGATTCAGCTTTTCCAGCCAATAGCAGAACAGCAACTAAAGGGGAGGTGAGAATAAGGACAGTAAGGCCCTATCTGATTGGTCAAATTCAGCAAAACAAACAACCAATGCATGAAATAAGTGTAAGTTATCACACTTGTCTGTGATAGTATATGCAGTATTTGTATAATCTTGATAATGATTTAGTGCAGCCCTAATAAAGATAACACAAAAAGTGTCACTCTGCCTTTAAAATACATCAGTTGCTAGTAATTAGCAAGTTGTAGAAGAAAAAAAGAAAAATTAATTGCATATCGCGATAACGGTTCTTTTCGATATACACTCACCGGCCACTTTATTCGGTACACCTTACTAGTACTGGGTTGGACCCACTTTTGCCTTCAGAACTGCCTTAATCCTTCGTGGCATAGATTCAACAAGGCACTGGAAATATTCCTCTGAGATTTTGCTCCATATTGACATCATAGCATCAGGCAGTTGCTGCAGATTTGTCAGCTGCACATCCATGATGAGAATCTCCTGTTCCACCACATCCCAAAGGTGCTCTATTGGATTGAGGATCTAGTGAGTGTGGAGGCCATTGGAGTACAGGGAACTCATGTTCAAGAAACCAGTCTGAGATGCTTCGCACTTTATGACATGGCATGTTATCCTGCTGGAAGTAGCCATCAGAAGATGGGTACACTGTGGTCATAAAGGGATGGACTTGGTCAGCAACAATATTCAGGTATGCTGTGGCGTTGACATGATGGTTAATTGGTACAAATGGGCCCAAAGTGTGCCAAAAACATATCCCCTGCCTAAACCATTACTCCACCACCAGCCTGAATCATTGACTGAAGGCAGGATGGATCCGTGCTTTCATGTTGTTGACGCCAAATTCTCATCCTACCATCCGAACATTGCTGCAGAAATCGAGACTTATTAGACCAGGCAACGTTTTTCCAATCTTTTGTCTTCAAATTTTTGTGGGCCTGTGTGAACTGTAGCCTTAGTTTCCTGTTCTTAGCTGACATCAGTGGCACATGGTGTGAACTTCTGCTGCTGTAGCCCATCTGCCTCAAGGTTCAACGTGTTCAGAGATGCTCTTCTCCATACCTCAGTTATAACAAGTGGTTATTTGAGTTACTGTTGCCTTTCTGTCAGCTTGAACCAGTCTGGCCATTCTCTTCTGACATCAAGGCATTTGCGCACACAGAACTGACGCTCACTGGATATTTTCTCTTTTTTGGACCATTCCCCTAGAGATGGTTGTGTGTGAAAATCCTAGTAAATCAGCAGTTTCTGAAATACTCAGACCAGCCCGTCTGGCACTATCAACCATGCCACATTCAAAGTCACTTAAATCATCTTTCTTCCCCATTCTGATGCATGGGTTGAACTGCAGCAGATCGTCTTGACTATATCTACATGACTAAATGCATTGAGTTGCTGCCATATGATTGGCTGATTAGAAATTTGTGTTAACGAGCAGTTGGATAGGTGTACCTAATAAAGTGGCCAGTGAGTGTATATTGTGCAGCTCTATTAAAGATACCACTCTCTCTGTTGCTCTCAGTTGCTAGTAATCAGCAAGTTGTACTGAAAAGAAGAACAAAAAATAAGTGCTAAAAAAAATTCAGTTTGGGAAACCAAGCGCACAAACCTTAACATGGTACTCCCCATCCATCAGGATGTTCTGAGTTTTGAGATCGTGGTGTAGAAGTGGCGGAGACATATTGTGGAGGAAATTGACTCCAAGAGCAATCTCATAAAGTATACGAAGTCTCAAAGGCCAAGCCACCGCTGGGTATATATCCTTCTGTAATGTCAAAAGAAAAAAACAGATGTCACAAAAAAAGTGAAACTGCGCATTACTCAAAATGCATTGTTCATTATGCTAATACTTCAAGACTAAACAGGAAGTGTGCCATGCAATAGTAAAGTTCTGTTATACCTCATGTAGGAGCTCATCCAGCGATCCGTTGGTCATGTACTCGGTTATGATGCAAAAGAACTCGGGTTCATTACACACCCCAAAGATCTGGATGATGTGGTTAAATCGAGCTTTGTGAAGCACTTCAGCTTCCTTCAGTAAACAATTTCTTTCCCTTTAAAAAAGAAAGAAAAAAAAAATTAGACAAGAGCAGTTGGGGTTGCTCTAACAGGTTCACGTGTATTTTGATTTGGACTTTCATTCTGTTTTATTTAATTCTTCCATGAACTTGGAAATCTTCAATGAAAAATAAAAGGTAACAAAAAAACAAACAAACCAATGTTTTTAAATGCAACAAAGAATAGTACACCCAAAAATGAAAATCTACTCATCATTTACTCGCCCCCAAACTGGTTATAAACCTTTGAGTTTCTTTCTTCTGTTGACAATAACACTAAAAACAATATTTTGAAGAAAGCTGAAAATCCGTAACCATTGACTTCCATTGTAGGAAATCAGATACTATGGAAGTCAATGATTCCCGTTTTAGAACATGTTTCAAGATATATGCTTTTGTGTTCAACATAAAGCACTATCCCTTTAATGTTACAGCATACAGTCATACAAAATGTTTTTAACACATATGTGTTGTCATATTTTGTCATTACAAACCAACAAGAAACTCAAAATACATCAAAAGGTTATATGATACTCTTTATACACTTATATACACTAATACTATAACATTATATGGAAATAAGAAAAAAAATTTCTCCACTTATTTAACAAAAACACTACAAATAGTTAAATTCACATGAATTTCTGCAAGAAATCTTTATAAACTTTGGCACATCAGTGTTTGAGTGCAATGTTTTCTTGAGAGAAACAGAAATCTCACAGGTAGGCATGGTGGGCCGGTATAAGATTCTGACAGTATTGTGATTGCTGCTCTAAAATATGTTCTTTTAAATGTTTGTGTAAAAAAAACTAAATGTTTTTCCCTTTGAACGCAATATATATATATATATATATATATATATATATATATATATATATATATATATGGATAGATGGATAGATGGATAGATGGATAGATGGATAGATGGATAGATAGATAGATAGATAGATAGATAGATAGATAGATAGATAGATAGATAGATAGATAGATAGATTTTTTTGAGAAACATTTCAAATGCTTTGGAACAGTTAACATGTCAGGCTCGATTAATCAAACGAATCATTGACTTCAGCTGTCTTTATTAAACATAAATAAAAAAAAACAATGATACACACTCTCATTCACACACTACGGCCAATTTAGCCTATCCAATTTACGTGTACCACATGTCTTTGGACTTCTGGGGGAAACCGGAGCACCCAGAGAAAGCCCACTGGAACACAGGGAGAACATGCAAACTCCACACAGAAATGCCAACTGACCCAGCCAAGGCTCGAACAAGCGACCTTCTTGCTGTAAGGCCACATCGCTACCCACTGCGCCAACCCGCAGGGATGGATTTAGTGATTGCGGGGGCCCCCCAAGCAATTCTAGCCATGGGGCCTAAAACGCACCTTTTGTACTTTAATTTATTTTTAAATTTTATTTTTAATTTTATTTATTTTTATATTGATTTATTTTGCTTACATCACTCAATCACTCCTTTTCTACATTTTTTCTTAATGCAAAATACTAGTAACAAACAAAATGTAAATCTCTACAATTTTATATTAATTTGGTTAAGAGCTTTTTATAAAATAAATAAATTGAATTTGTATAATAAATAGAGCATGAACTTATACAATGTGAATACATTTTTAATGTGTGATGAGAACTTTTTCAATATTTTTTTTAAATGTATGTGGTGATGGAAATGACAGGGTGGTGATGGAAATGACAGGGTGTGGTGGAAATTACAATTAATCGGTGTTAATGTAGAGAAACAGTGGATATTTATTGGAAAAAATTATTACACTGAAAAAATTTATTCAGAAATGATTCCTTGGATTTACAATTTTTTTTATGTTAAGTAGCTGTAAACAATTTACTTGGGCAGAATTTAAACAAATTAAGTAGAATTTTATTAAATTAAAATTTATTTGTTTAACCACTTAAACTGCTACTGGGTACCGGGTCCGTGACATAATCGACTTTCGCTTTCAGATTAAAAGGGCTAGCGTTACACCAGACCCCCGTAAGGGGTGTCGTTTGAAAGTGTAGAATTTATATTTTATGCACATATGCATCACTTTGGTTTTTATTCTACTGTATAAAAGTTTTTTACATCTAAATACACAGTATTTTGGATACCCGAGCTGGGTATTGAACATTGGTTCATTTTCATATTTTTCATATGACACATGTACAAGTTATAGCTCAAATGAAAGCTCTTGCCGGTGCTCATACAGTTCTAGCATTCTTTTTACTGAATTATATTCATATGCCAAACAATTGTTGAATGAATAGCAGTGTTTCCATGGCGCAGAAATGTAAACAATACATTCATGATCAATAAGCAGCCCCAGATAGCACAGACAGCTGTTATCTCTTACCTTATGCCGTGCCCTTCAGGGCCATTCTCCTCTGTTTTTGAGGTGATGTGCATAACTAATCCTTTTATATGTCTGATGTAATCCAAACACAGTGAATTATGTTTGATCAAACAAAAGAATAGTGAAATATGAAAACAATGATCGGTCTCTGTGGCTTGTACAGCACCTCTCATCAGTTGGAATGCAATAACTTTTGCATAGATTATGGTAGAGACCTTTTTCTTTTTTCCTATGATTACAGACATGTGCAGGAACCACCAAAATTAATTTCAGCACGCTAGACCACACAGAACCTAAAAGGTGCACTTTCAAATTTGAGTTTAAAAAAAAATATATACAAAAAGCACCTCTTTTTTAGGTGTTTATTATAACAGGCAACATATACATATATTTTAAACACTTTCAATAGTGTTTCATGAAAATTCAAAGGGTTTTCTTTCAAATTATACCAATTTTTTGCATTTACACCTCTTTATGTGGATTTGGGAAGCTTTTAAATTTGGGTAGGCAAAATCCAGGCGGAAATCCCCAAAAAGCAGCAGAGTTTAAGTGGTTAAATTCAACACAAATAAATTGTTTGCAACAGTTTTGCAGACACCATTTTTTCCCAGTGTAGATTCTTAAACTCACGCGTATTAAACTCAATTTACAAAATTACTAAGCACAAACACACGTTTTTTTTTTCCACCACAGGGGGCAGTGTGGTGGTAATGACAGTGGGTGAAATGACATTTCTACATTTTATTGTGAAAAAAATAAAAGATTAGCATTTACTAGCTTTTCATGTATACAAAACACTCCTATTTACCTTAATTATTTTATTTTTTGCATTTTAAAATACACCTTTGAAGGTACAGTATGTTTGGAAATGTATTACGTTTTGTTGTTTTATTATGTTTTGTAAATGTATTACCCTATCAAGCAATATTTACCTTGATTTTTCTTAATCTTCAATTCCCTCAATCTTGAACATGTGCTCTGATGACACTATTCATTTCCATAAAAACCACCTAAATAATCTCAAAAACTTTTTAAAGCGACATTATAGCGTTGTGGTGGAAATGAAACTGATACTAATATTGATAACAGTCTCATATTAAAAACTATGAAATATTTAAATAATTTCACTAGTGCTTTATTAAGATACATTAATAGATACCAGATAAATAATCATTTATAATGTTATTTTCATTGTTGAAGTTTAAAACTGTGCGTGTGACAAGTGTGATTTTTACTCGTAAAAGTAGGTTAAATAATATGAAATAAATATAATAGAAAGCTAGTAAATTTTTAAAAGTAAGTTTTATTATTAGTTTGACAAAGAAAGAAGAATTTGAACAAAATTCTATACATTTGTGTATACATATCAAAGGACTTAAAAGTACCCATAGTTAAAGAATTACCCGATTATTTGAGGTACAGCTCATAGTAGCCAAAACTAATAGTATTTTACACTTTATAAGGGCCACAAGGCTAAAAATATATTGAAAGCTGAACAAAACGTACAGTTCCCAACTGCAGAACCAGTAAACCATGCTGTCTGACCGCATACTTAACGTATGTACGTAAGTGCAGCATAACAGTTAAGTAAGTTAACCTGATTTGCATGCACAGTATGCTTACTTACACCTGCAACTACATCCCTCTTTAGATTAGAAGCCTGAAACCATTACAGGAGTATAGAAAAAGCCCAATAAGAATGCTCTCAGATTTGGACAGTGTTCAAATGGCTAAAGTTGGCTTTATATTCGCTCATTCTGACTTTCACCTCAATGATCAGAAGTGCACTGAGTGAACTCACCTCTCACCAACCGGTGAATCCAGTTTCAAGCACTTAATCGCCACTGTGGTGCGCCAGTCACTGTGCTGCGCCCTGAACACCGTCCCGAAGCCTCCCTTGCTGATGTAGTGCAGGTCCGTTAGTTTCCGATACGGGATCACCGGTAATGTGCTGGTGAGACTGCAGATGTTGACGCAGCCGGTGTGCTCCATGTTTCTGGACATTAGGAGAAGACACGGGCCCGTTTTTGCTTCACTAAAAAGGGGAACTGAAAGCGCACTGTTACGCAGAGAGAGAAAGAGAAATCACGCTTGTATCTACATGTTGTGAATGCGGTCCAGCCTACGTACTAGATCCCCCAGAGAAGGGTACATGTCCGCTGACACCTTGTTAAAAGTGTCAGTGAATAACAGATGGAAAAGAAATGAGTGCTACAGCTCGCGCTTGGAGAAACGCCCCCAGTCCGAACAACGCATTTTACATCACGCCAGAACACACAATCCGATAATTAACAAGAGTATAGTCACGGTTTGAAGTTTATCGATGATAAAGAGTTTTTGGGATAGTAGCCAGACGCTCCTCATGTGTATGTGTGTGAATGAATTGGTCGTACTAAAACCGCAATGTTAAGATTTTTTTTGGAACCACCCGTCTAGCCCCGCCCTTAACCTGACGGGTGTTTGAACGACAGCTGAAGTGTCCAATGACAGAAGTGTTACATATCACTGATAGCCAATCCAATAGCAGAGGGCGGAACTTCTCGGAATACATTTAGGGGGGTGGAACATAGGTGGAAAACAACGCCAATCACAGGATTGCATGACTTCAGCTTCCGGGTGTCGGAACATTTATTGAAACATTTAACATTTGTTTGCAGTATTAACACTATATATCTAATAGTGGGCTAAGTACCGCAACATTTATGTTTTTACAATTTTTAACGCTTAGGTAAATGTAAATTTCCCCACGCCTTTTTAAATTTACATTATAAAATGTTTGTTTAATAGACTAAATAATTATTTAGAGTAAGAATAGAGTTTACCAAGAGTCCATGTTGAAGTTATTTTAATTTGACGCAATGCTTTAACAAATAAAACCTGTCAAAGAAGACGTTTGTCTGACTTGTGTTTTGAGCTTGACCCATGAATGGGGGATCCCATTGTGATGTAACAAAGGGAATTCCCATCATAGGACTTTCTTAAAAAACAAATCTATTCGCTCTCTTTTTTTAAATCCAAGTTGATTCCAAACTTAGCTCTATTACCTATTGGAATAATTTTGTAAGAAGTCCTAAATAGGAGTATCTGGTCATTACCTCACAAATTTTTGGTTACAAATAAGATAAAATAAATATATTTTAAACTAATTCATAAATTCTACCCGGTTAAACATTTTCTCTGTAAATTTAAAAAGGGATATTGATATAAATTGCTCTTTTTGTTCTTTGCGTTTGGGAACTAACTACTTTTTGGCGCTGTGGTTATGCATAAAAGCTTTAGTATGATGCTTTTAATAAACAAAAGGTACTCTTTAATTAAAATTTTTATTTTGAAAACTGAATTTTTGGATTTTTAAATTATGATAAATTGAATAACGAAGTTTTTGTTATTAACTTATTTATTTTGTTAATTACGTTTCATATTCATATGTAAATTTTCCAAAAAAAAAAAAAATGTTTTACTGTGTTTTATAAGGAACTGAAAAATTACTTTTGTACTATTCAGCATAGTGCTAATAGAAAGGCCAATAAAACTGTCCAACTGGGCTCTAGTTTCAAAATCTTTGATTAATGTAAAGGTCCTGCTTGCTTGTAATTTTATTTGTTTTTGTGTTTTTTTTTTTGTGCTGTTATTATTTACTTTATATTACCCTGGCATTATTTGTTCACTATATTGTCATGTACCTGTTGTTTAAAGCATAATAATAATAATAATAATAATAATAATAATAATAATAATAATAATAATAATAATAATAATAAACTTATTAAAAATATGTTTTTATAAACATTCCAGCTAAAAAACCCATTTGCCATTTATACAACAGATTAGTAACTACTGTACAAAAATACAGATCATGTTAAAAGAAAATGGGAACTGGAACTAAATACCATAATTGAAGATGAGGTCTGGATTGAGTTATGTGAAGGATGTCATAAAGGAATCAATAGTCAATTATGGAAAAAAATTTGATTGTCTAACAAAGGCCAGCTAGTGAGTGCTGTACAGGTAAACCTCTCTCCTCTGACCTCTAAAGGTACTCTAGTGACAGACGCTAGAGGCTATGGTCTTTAGCCTCCTTATTAGAGCAACCGACTCCCATCATCATCGGTTGATAACCAGCCCCGAGCAGGTTGGGTGGTGTAGGACCGGCGGGGTTACAATAACCTGATACAGTACAAG